ACCAAATTCTCTCCATTGTTCCAAAGCACAGCTCTAAGGACAGCTCCTCCATGGAGCCTCCTTGCTGCCTCCCACCGTGATCCCGGCTCCTAGCCCGGTCAGCAGCACACTTTTGCCTCCTCCACATTATGCTACTTTCCATGCTTATTGGGTCAGCTTCCACACCCTGGGGAGTATTTTCTGTCATCAGTCAGGGGAACCCTGCAGGAATGAGATGGTCACTCAATGCATCTCATTGTGGAGAATCAGTAAATGAATTGCCCAATAAAGTGCAGGCAGACCTAAAGCAAACCAACATGAGACAGACTGGCAGCACCCAGAGTCATTAGTGCCGAGAAGCCTGAGGCGCGTGGGGAGGTAGAAGGGCCGGGATACAGAGGGGGCTGGTGATGGCTGCAGCCAGGGCTGTGCCAGAGAGTCGCTCAACAAATGCTGTGACCACAGGCAGAGGAATCCAGTCACTGTGGCCACGACCAGGCAGGCAGAGAGCAGGAAAACAGTGACCTTGACCTCTTTTGCCCCCAACCACTGATATCCTGCTAGGTCCTTCCACTGGCCAAACCCAACCAGATGCCACAAACACTGAGATCCTTTTGACAAGAACCCTGTGCTACCTCCTCCAGGGGTGCACAGCCAGGAACAGGGGGTGGGGTGCATCTGGAGGAGAGCGTGGCAACTATCCAGCACATCCCACAGCTACGAAAGCATCTCAATATAAAGCAGACTCTCAAAGACGCGTGCTGATTGGTCTAATTAATGCGTGCTGTGGAAGGCCTAATTACTCTAATGATTTGCGTGTAAACTGTCAAGAGGATGAAAGATGAACTGAGGGGCCTAATTGGGGCCTTTCCTGCTTCTGGAAGCCCATCAACCGGCCCTGCGGTCACAGCTGCAGATCGGATCGTGCATGGCCAACGTTTTGTTTTCCTTTCAGTGGGGGAGAAAGGAATGGGGACACCAGGAAAGAATTCATCATCCATAAGAGAAACTGCTACTCCTCCCTGTGCTCAAAAGCAAAGTCATTTTTCCCCAAATTAAAAGAGAATGTTTGCCACTGAAACGTGAGCTGGTAAAAAAAGATAACGCACTCCCCAGCCGTCTCAGCAGTTATGTTATCACAGTGACACGTGTCAAATAGCCGCATAGGAAGCCTGGGAGTGATTCCGCGAATAAAAGAACGCAGTGTGAAATGCTGACTTTTTCTGATCAAAAATGATCCTGGGGCGAGCTGAACAGCTTTGGGTCAAGGAGAGGCCTCAGTTTCTGGGGCGATTTTGTTGTTTTCAGAAAGAAGACTACTCGCAGGATGTGCAGCTGCTCGCACACTCCCACTGGGCAGGCGCACTTGCAGTCACTTGTCTTGCCTTGGGTCTTTACCCCCCACATTGAAACATATTTCTCATTTCAGTTTCACTTACCTGTCACTTTCTTCTTAAAAGGGATGATTTATCAAGTAAAAGATCATCAACATCAAAGAACAGTTCAGCATTACCAGCATACAGACACACACACACACACACACACACACACACACACACTCACTCACTCACACCCTCCCCTGCATCATGCTCTGAAAGCAAAATTGTGACTAAGAACCATAAACTCACTCCCCCCACTGGAGGTTTGTTTTAGAATCTGAGCGTGGGTCTCTTCACTCTGTGGTTCCTCCAGCCTAAAAATGGTACCTTGTTGCAAGGGAGCTATAATTTCTACTCCACACTTCATGATTTGATTGAAAATAAAGATGTAAAATAAAGAGTGTAATGAAGTTAATAGTACCTTACTCTTGCAGTCCATTATGAGGAATTTTTTCCTGCAAAAGTGGAAACTGGAAATTACCTCTGGGCCTTCTCACTCTCAAACACACAGGTCACCATGATATGTGGCGGGGTTTCAAGGATGAAGGATTTAATGTTTCTCTTTCCTCTGGTCAGTTTTCCAAAAGGACCTCTCCTTTTACCGGGGTATCATACACGTAGTGAGAGATAAAGACCTGAAGAAACAAGCAGGAAACTGCCGTTCTACTCCTGGTTGTATCCTAGTTGTAGGACCTCCGGAAAAGCATTGAACTTTGCTGGGTATTAACTACTCCTTCTGCAAAGTGAGGTGACTAGATAAACCATTCCCAATTTAGTCTCTCTCACATTGATGTTTCTTTCTCTCTCTCTCTCTCTCTCTCATCATCCCTCTCTAAAAATAAAAATTATTATAAATAATTATAAAATTATTATAAAAATTATTATAAATAAAAATTATTATGTGTTTCTCCCCTTTTTTTTCTCTTGTATTTCCCAGCCACCAGTCCCTGGAATCATCCCTGCGTGTTCCTTGCCTCGTTATTTGTATGATTTCAGCATGGATCCTAAAGGAGGGCCATGTCTTAGATTCAAGTCCTTTATAGCCCAGTTAGTTTTTTTGTCTTATTTATTTATTTTTTAAATAATCCTCACCCGAGGATATTTTCCCCATTAATTTCTAGAGAGAGTGGAAGGGAGAGAGAGGGAAAAATATATAGATGTGAGAGAGATACATCAATCGGTTGCTTCCGGCATGCTCCAGAGCCAGGGACCAGGAACCAAAGCTATAACCCAGGCACTTGCCCTTGACTGGGAATCAAACCCTAACCCTTCCATGTGTGGGTCAATGTTCAAACCAGTGAGCAACACCGGTCAGGGCTACAGACCAGTTGGTTTTGATCTCAACCCCTCCTACCTCTTCCTGACAGTCACAATAAACTTCATCCAAGGGACTTTCAGGTGGGTCTCACGCTCAAAGAACCAAGTCAAAAAGAGTATTCTTGCTATCATTGTTCCAGCAGCAGTATCTTATATGAGGAAGTAACACAACACTAAAACAGAGGGGAAAATTACAGTCTCTCAGCCTAACAGTATAACACTGAATAGCATGCAAGCACCCCGCACACTGGCCCATGTAGTCACAGATGACCACATCCTTTTTCAGGATTTTCCCATACACATGCACAGATGTAACACTTCATCTGCCTCTAGGAAATAAGAAAGGTATTTCACTAGTGTAAAAACTCTCGCAAACATCATTTAGGGAGATTGAACGGGATTAAGTTTCTTAGGTGGTCCAGGCAACAAGTTCTCATTTTCACAGTGTTCTTTTATGCTGTAAGTCAAAGCACAGATTCATAGTCCCCACAAGACTTGGGGTAGCGCCATATGCCAACGGGAACACAAGCTTAGTTTGGGGCTTCCCGCTAGTACCGGTAATGTGACAGGCTCTGATTTATGCTCATAGTCCAACCTATCACCGAGCAAAATATAAATGTGGCCAAAGATTTCATTTAGACTATTTCCTCTTTCTCTGATGTTCAGGGACCCAATCCTTCCTGCTAATCCACTTCCCCGTCCCTACTTGCCCCAACCCAGCCCTGCATTCCAGCTCTCTATATTCTGCCCCCTCTTGTTTACCAATTCCCTCCATAAAGCTCTGCTCATCTGATGACACCTGGGAATGATCCAAGATCTTTATTAGTAAGTGCTACTGTGAGTTACTGGAAGACAATAGCTTAGCATGCTTGCTTTGATAGGGTCCTTGCATATTCTCTGGGATCTATGGAAGAATTTGGGCTTTAGGGACTAATCAACAAGGATGATAGTTTGGTGTTAAGAGAATCGTTCCTGCGCTGTTCATATCACACTATATGAGCATCTCTGTCCCTGCCTGGGCAGAAGACAGACCCCAATGGCAGCCTGATATGAAAGAAGTGTTTTCTTTGTCAAAGAAGAGGCTGAGAAATGATCTTTTTATCCTAACTCCCCATAAGTTGCAAAAGGAATAGATATTAACACACATGCGCGCACACACACACACACACACACACACACACAATTTTCACTATATTCTACCTAGAGACAGAAGACATTAGAGATGAGGAGAGGACATAACCGTTGGGAGTTGAACTTAAAATACTATTAAAGTTTTTATAGCCTCTGAAGGTCTGCTGCTATCTCTGTTTGCAGCCCTCAGGGATACAGAAGTTGCATCCAATAACAAAAGAAGAAGTAGACCCAAAAGTTCCTCAATCCCCAGACACTCACGTCTATGAGCAGTTTGTGATATGAAACCTCAGCAGTTACAAGGTAAACAGCTAATTTGTACAATGGCAGAGTAAGATCTACAGCAGCAGAGTTGGAGAAGTGCAACTGATAAATCAATTCAATCAGTATATTATGGGACACATACTCTAATCCAAAGTCCGGTCCAGCTGCTGAGAGTATACAGTCAATAAAGCACATCCCTATACAACAAGCAAATGAAGGAACCAATCTAGCTCCTATCTCAGTACATGAGCAAAAGGAGCAGGAGTGACTTGCTAGCTGTGATTTCTTGCCCAGTTCATATGCATTATAGAGTAGAAGAGGTGACCCACACATTTTAGCTCAAAGACTAGAGTGGCCAACCTTCAGAAATCAGGGACTTAATCTATTTCCTTGAACTAACCAGGTTCTCATACACAAAAGCAAACACAACCATATGGTTAGGAATGATGCTTATCAGCATTAAAACATTTAGAAGAAAGCTTGTGGACAATTAAACTCATTTACATACCTAAGAAGTTCTCAGAGTGTCTTCGCTCTTCAGTATTGGAGCTCTATCGAATTCTTGTTCAACTTATCCCCAAAGTTAAGATAAATGGGTGATGGAACAACTATATATAGGCTCAGCATTTGGCATCAGTTGTACAGTAGTGTTTTTGTATAGGTTAAAGTCTACTTCGGCTGGAATTAATGTAATTATATATAATGTTGACAGATTATGACATTTGCCTATTAAGACATTATACAAACATTCCAATAATTTACAGGCTTTTGACTCCGTAAAAAATAAATGAAACAAAATCCCAGGGGATATTGCTAATGGGGTAACTTAAATAGAGGTTTCAAAAGCACAGGGTTCAGGAAATAACAGTCAAAGAATAATGCATTTTCAGCCAAAACATATAGAGTGGTAAATGAATATTTAGTACTTACCACAAGACTGCTGTCTAGAGACAGCCTTTTTCCAAAGTCCCTTTTCTCAAGCTGTCTATTTCCCTCCATGGGTGAAGTTATTTATTTTCCTTTGTGATTTATAAGAATTCCCCCTCTGTTTCCAGGGTCACTGCAAAAAGTGAACATGTTTTTCACTATCCAAGTGAACAGTGTTTAAACCCTTGTTTTTAACTTTCTAACCAGGAACAAGTATTGGAGCCAAAAATATCCAGACCCAAATAATAAGTATAGAACTGGGCTCTCTCAACGTCAAAGATCTCTCCGGTTGCAAATGTCAGAGTCATCTTTATGGAGGCCCCTGTGTTTTTATAGGTTTTGCTCATGGTGTTGGGGAATGGGTTTGCAGGTCGAATCAGCAGACTGTGGAAAAAAGCAAACAGTCCATTTCATGCCACACTTGCTCCACACCCGCCCTCTCTCTATCAGCCAGCACCATTCTGTTTCTGCGCACGTAGATGCTGTCTGCAAATTCCATGAGATCAAACTGGCAAAACCATGCTCCATAACTAAGAGTTATTGAGCCCAAAACCCAATGATGAAAAACTGACATATGAACATTATTGTCAATATTAAAAATATTTAATTTAAACATATTTGTGGAACATTATAAGATACATGTCCTTTGGGACAAGTTGATTCAGAATGCATGGTAGATGACATCATTATTATCAATGAGTATTTATTTGAACACCCACTGCATTCTACCACATGAGATACAGTTAATCCCCACACTCCACTGACATTGCTTGTTCTGGAATCATTAAGTATTCTAGTTAGTAAGAATGTGTCATATATATTAAGCACTAGCTCCCAGTTTTCACCAAGATGGAAAAGGCTTGAAGTAAGAGAAATGGGTTCGAGCCCAAGCTTTCGTCCCCAATAGTGAAGTGACTTTCAACAGGTCATTGAGCCTCTAAAATCCATGTTTCTCAACTGCAATCAACAGCAATCACATGATGTATGTAAAAAATAGTTTAAAGGCAATGACTTACAACTTACCCATATGTCAGTTATAATTATACACAGATTACATTAAAAACTGGTTAACCTTAAATACTAGTTGACATAATTTAATGTCTTTGATCATTCAGAAGGCACTCTGAGATACAGAAATGCTCTTAATCCACACAAAATGCTCCTAATCCGCACAAATCCATTGTCCTGCTGATATTGAAGAGCTGAACTTCATAAAATGCTATACCAAAACCTTTTCATAAAATTGAAAATAAATATTTTTCACAACTCTCTCAACTGCTCCAACTCTGAAGAGGACGCAAGGAATTCTACTTCACAGACCACACACAGAATGTGGACTCCTTTTCTTGGTTTCCTCCACTAGGAAGAGAGTGGAGACAGCTGTGCCCCAGACAGAGTCTGCCCAAATTATATAGTCAATTGCAGGAAACTGATGGGCCCCTTTTCCATAGGCTCCCATCTCCATCTGAGTCATTCTCTCATTTTTCAGAAACACTAATTTTAATTCATTACTGGTCCACTCAGAAACTCCTAGGAGTTCATTCTGAATTCAGGATAAAATCCAAATTTTTCAACATCATGTTCAAGGTCTACTTCCTGCCAACTAGTCTTTGCAATCCCAACCACACTAGGCGCATTCCTGAGACCATGCTTTTGATCATACCTTTCACCTCCATCTGGTCTATTCCTCCCCTTGCTTCAACGCCTGGCTCAGCTCCCATCTCCTTCACAATACCTTCCTAGTCACTCCATTTGGCAATGATTTTTCTCTCTCCCAAGTTTCATACAAGTCCTTGGTGGCTTACCTTATTAATCACCATCATCACCTAGGATAATTCTTTCAATATAGTAAGTTCTTAATAGTTGCTTTTCAGTAGAGCCTAATAGTTAAAAACAAACTCTCTGAAGCATTTTTCAGAACTAAGTTAGCTCTACACTACTACTATAGACAAAACTATTAGTCATCTGAAATTTGTTTGAAGACTTCCATCCCCCACTTTCAGCTGTTCCACCCACTTTGCAGCCCCTTCCTCATCTCAGTGACTGGCTGTACTGGTAGCTCAGAATACTCTCTGTAATAATGAATCCAACTAGAGAGACTAATCAGACGCTGAAACTTCCCCCTGCATTAAAGCATGTCCTCCTAAGTCTTAATCCAAAGAGCCATGGGGTTTGATGAGTCACAGTAGATAATCCTTTGACATTTAGCACATATTTCTTGACTACCACAGAGGACTCAGTACTTAGATGTTGATGACACAGCCATGTCTAAGACAGACTAGGTTCCTGACATTCTAATAGGAGGACAAAGAAAATAAAGAAGCAAACAAACAACTCCAAATGGTGGTAGGTACCTGCTCTGAAGGAAATAATCCCCAGTAGGTGGTATAACAGTTTCAAGCATGTGGAAGGGGAGAATATTTTAAATAGAATGGTAAAGGTGGGAGACAGCCATGTAAAAGCACGTGTAAAGAGCATGCCAGGTAGAGAGGTCAGTCTTACTGCTGGGAAGGATCTGGGAAAATTTTGTGTGTCCATAATAGGGAACAAAACAAGCTAGGAAGATAACGTGTGAGCGAAGTGCTGAGATGTAAGCAACAACTGCAGGCCAATGAAACCTGCTTGTTCTAAACACAATGTTTCAATCTTAGGGTTTGATTCTCTACTTTATGCTTTACTAGCTGATAACATTAAACAAATTATTTAACCTATTTAAGCTTCAGTTGATTTAGCTATAAAATGGAATCAATAGTAGGACCTTCATAGTGAGGTTGATATGATGATTAATGAGATGGTCCATTTAAAGAGAAGTGTCTGCCACATAGTAGGTGAGTTTTAAGTATTAAACATTGGTTATCTTTTTTGGTAAATGTGATGAAATTCATTAAGGAGAAACTCCAATGACCAGATTTTATGCTCCATAATAGGCTAATGAGGCTGTCATTTTGGGAAACAGGAATCCTTTTGACAGTTCTCTATTAGCCTAGTCTACCAGGTGGATGGTTGATTGAACAGCTTAGCCTGGTCAATTTATTTTCATACTTTATGTTTCCAATTACAGAGGCAGAGATTGACATTCAAAACATTTATCAGCCGAAACCGGTTTGGCTCACTGGATAGAGCGTCGGCCTGCGGACTGAAAGGTCCCAGGTTCGATTCCGGTCAAGGGCATGTACCTGGGTTGTGGGCACATCCCCGGTGGGGGATGTGCAGGAAGCGACTGATCGATGGTTCTCTTTCATCGATGTTTCTGACTCTCTATCTCTCTCCCTTCCTCTCTGTAAAAAATCAATAAAATATATTTTAAAAAAAAACATTTATCAACTGGCACAGCACAGGTATTGACCATTCAGAAGGACACAGCCCAGGGCATTAGGCAGTATCACTGCAGCAGTGTGTCCTGGCCAAACTTCAGCCTAAGTGCATGCCCTACCCCCATCCAAAGACCTTGAAAATGTATGTGTTAAACCATAAAACAATCATGGAAACTATCCAAAGTTATACAAAAGGATCAAAGCAACACCCTACCCCCCAAAAAGTGGCAACCAGGTTATGTCAACATGAAAAGGGGAGGGATCCAAGAAGGAAAAGCCAGGAAGTCTGACACACTCCACCTGCAGTACCATCAGGGAAGAAGAGTGCCCACATTAACATATGACCAGCAAGGGCTACGTGCCTAGAAGGCAAATGAGTAGGTCACATCCCAACCACATTTTGCTATTACACTGGCCATCTGTATCATGCAATAAGCCCTCTTGCTCAGAGACCACTGTCAAACAAGCTTCTAATTTTAGTTGATTCCTATGTAGGTTAACTTATAGAGCAGCCATGGGCAAACTACGGCCCGCGGGCCAGATCCGGCCCGTTTGAAATGAATAAAACTAAAAATAAAAAAAAAGACCGTACCCTTTTATGTAATGATGTTTACTGTGAATTTATATTAGTTCACACAAACACTCCATCCATGCTTTTGTTCCGGCCCTCCGGTCCAGTTTAAGAACCCATTGTGGCCCTCAAGTCAAAAAGTTTGCCCACCCCTGTTATAGAGGAATGTGCTGACCAGCAAATGTACATAGGCCATCTTTTGTAAAGTTATGTTTTCAGTACAATTTGTAATTTGGCATCTGACTCATAATTCATGAGTTAGGGATTTGCTTAGTATATTAGTCAGCTTGTACTGCCATAACACAAAACCACAGACTAGGTGGCTTAAACAACAGACATTTATTTTCTCACAGTTCTGGAGACCTGACATTCAAGTTCAAGGTGCCTGCAGGGCTGGGTTTTGATGAGGCTCTCTGCTTAGTTTGCATTTGCCTGCTCTGTGTCCTCACATGGCCTTTTCCTTTGCACACATGCTTCTGGTGTATCTTCCTTTTCTTATAAGGACACCAGTCCTACTGAGTAAGTCCCCCACTCTTAAGACATTGCTTAACTTAATTTCCTCCTGAAAGGCTCTATCACCAGCCCTGGCCAAGTGGTTCAGTTGATAGGAGTGTTATCCCATACACCAGAGCTTATGGATTGGATCCCCAGCTGGGGAGGCAACCGATTAATATTTCTCTCACATCAATGATTCTCTCTCAAATCAATAAAAAAACTATCCTATTGCCAAATATACTGTATTGGGTGTTAGGGCTTCCACATATGAATTTTGAGGGGTCCAGTTCAGTCCATAAGAGTTAGTTTTGATCAGATGTCAAAGCCTGGTTACATCTCAGTGCACTAATAATCAGATTTCTGAGTCTAAACTGCTGCGAGAAAACTCTGGGGTCACTGACTACTCCCAGGCCCTATCCCTCTCCTCTGGCTATTTCACTGTTTGACGTCACCACCACCACCACGCACCCCACCTGGCTGTGCTATATTCATTCGTCTCCGTACTGCAAGTCAAGAGGTGCAAACTATATTATCAAGATTTCTTAGTCATCTGGGCACATTGGATTCTGCCAACAGAAGGCAGTGAGAGATCAGAAGGCAACAGGAAGGAAGACTCCATTCTGCTTCCAGCTCCAGATGCCCAGCCTCAATAGCAGTGCACTAGAGGTTCCAGTGACTTCCCGGTGCCCCCAGCGACTCAGCGTAAGAAAAGGCAGCTAGCCATAGCTTTCCTCCCCAGGGAAGGGGAAGGAC